CTTTTAAACTTCCTGTAGAGTCAAAAGTTGAAAGGGAATTAACATTCAGGGTTAAATCATCTGATGTTTGCGAGGATTTAGTAACTCTGGTGTCTCAAACAAATAAATTGGTCACATTTGTTTCTACAACTTATTGTTATAATGAGCTTTTAATATGTAGTCATGAGGAATTGGATTATCCTTATTGAATACATACTCACAACATATAGGTACACAGTATTTTATATACTTGAAGTAAACACGTCTCTGTCGAGATGTTGAACATATAAAGTTTGATTGATTTACCTATTGTGAGTATAACTTTTCATTTCTTTGCGCGGAAACATTTTCTGACACTGGTTCACCAAGTAATACCTTTTGAATTAACCGGTCATTATGAAAAGTTTTTTTCCAATTTCTGTAGTAGAATATTACAATGTATATATGTAACAACGGTATTTGAATGTTTGTGACTACGGTCTCCCAAAGTCGAGGTTTTCCTAAAAGCTGACCTTCGAGTTCTAAATCTAAATGTCAACCACTTTGTGGTCCACGCTAATACACATCTTCGTCTCGAATGCTTAGATCATACCATATATTGTATTTTCATTTATCTGTACTTTGAAATGCATTTGATTATGTATTGTAGTAAGCACCTAATATTTGTATATTATATATAATAACTATTGAAAACACTTTTCACATTCCAGAACAAAAAACTGTTTCTCAACGCGCATTGCCCTAACCAAGTCAGCATTATCGGGATATGAGTAGGACTATTTTTTTCTGCTATGTTAATGTTTTCACTTACATCTAAACGAATCATTACACTTCAAGTGAAGGTCAATAAATCAATTCCTAGTACTTTGTTATTGTCTTATTGTCATTCACTACCTGATTGATACCAACCTGCAATTACGTAAACGCTAAATGTACACACACCGATTTTGGACTGCCGATTTTATACCGGTCGTATAGTCCAATAGTGAACCACATGTGGGTACGGGAGCTGGCACACACGCCGACCGGTGATCGGCGTCGATCACCGGTAAGCATGTGTGCAAGTTCCCGTTGCCACATGTGGCTCACTATTGGAATTTGGGCGACCGGTATAAAATCGGCCGTCCACAATCGGTGTGGGCGCAATTAGCCTAACGCTAGATGCACACACACCGATTTTGGACGGCCGACTTTGTACTGGTCGTCCAAATTCCAATAGTGAACCACATGTGGGAATGGAACCTTGCACACACGCCGGTAAAATACCGGTGAGCAGCCGTCCACTGCCACTGTATCGCCGGCAGAACCGGAAAGTAGTGGCGTACATGATTAAATACACTCTTGCATACTCACCGGTTCCAGTCTCGAATGCTCGGTGAAATTGTAGTTACTACGCATTAACTTCGTTTTGGTAGTGCGTACTAATTACGACAACAAAGCAACTGATTGTTTGATCGATAAGAATCCGGTGAGTGTGCAAGCACCCGCTACCAATACTAGTAACGCTAGTTGCTACCAATAAAATATCGGCCGATTTTATACTGGTCGTCCAAAATCTGTGTGTGTGCAACTAGCGTAACGCTAGCGTAACACTAGTTGCACACACACCGATTTTGGACGGCCAGTATAAAATCGTCTCGAATGCTAGTAACGCTAGCGTAACGCTAGTTGCACACACACCGATTTTGGACGGCCAGTATAAAATCGTCCAATATTTTATTGGTAGCGGGTGCTTGCACACTCACCGGATTATCATCGGTTGACCACTCAGTTGCTTTGTTGTCGTAATTAGCACGCACTACCAAAACGAAGTTGATGCGTAGTAACTACAATTTCACCGAGGAATGGTCGGTAATACGGCGATACAGTGGCAGTGGCCGGTATTTTACCGGCGACGATCACCCGTCGACGTGTGTGCAAGGTCCCGTTCCCACATGTGGTTCACTATTGGAATTTGGACGACCAGTACAAAATCGGCCGTCCAAAATCGGTGTGTGTGCAACTAGCGTAAGAGTGCGAACAAAAGGCTGTTAGGAATGGGATTTTCGTGACCGTGCATATATATCTCGTTCCACATTTTTCGATCTCTAAAATCTCGAAAGCATCTAAAAACTTGTCATGTATCGGTCTCAACAATTTCGAGCATTCCTCACTTGGTATGTGACCGTTCTGTATGGCATGCTGAGCGATACTAGACTTCTCTGGTCTATGAAGCCGAATATGTGAAACATGACCCTTGTAACTAGTTATTATAATTCGCTTTATTTGACCAACAAACTTTTTGTCTCAATTCTCACAGCTTATTAAAAAAACTCCAGACTTTTTCTTTTTCGTCGTTGGCCAACATTTTTTGAAGTTGAGGGGCTGTTTTGAAAGCAACTTTCATATCCAATTTTTCAAAAATTTGAACCAATCTGTTATGTATTTCAGTTCGTAGGAAAGAACTACAAATTGTGAGTCTTCTTTTTGCTAGAATTCACTCTCTAAATTTTCTCTTCACGTATGAAATTAAAAATTACGAACAGTTACCATTCTTGTACGTTACAGTTAAATTAGATGTACGGGAACTGTTGAAAAAAAATTAATCGAATGTCAAATTTCGCTGGCTACACACATTCGATTAGCGGTGTTTTTTATTTGTTTATGTTGGTACACTTGTCCCGAACGTATGTTAACAATTTCAGATGTGTAGTTTGTTGGTGAGTGGTGAGTTAGAAAGTGAATTTTCATCAAAATTTGTGTAAAAATATAATTAGGTGCTCAAAAACACTAGAAATGTTGACAGCAACATACGGTGATTGTACTCTGAGTCAGAATTTTTTTACAAGCTTTTTACAAAAGGTCGAGAAGATGTGAATGACTACGCTCTCATATCAACAATCGATGGGTTCATGACCAAAGTCCAAGCGTCCTAAAGTTAGATCCCAGGAGAGCCAAGACCAAAAAAGGCACGCCAAGTTCGATCAAACGTCAAGGTTTTGCTCACTGTTTTCTTCGATTACCATGGCACAAGTGTATTTATTATATCTGAGGATCTGAGGGGGACTGCTCTGAAGGGAACATAATAGAAATTGATTAATTAATAAATATTCCTTGAAAAAAATTAAAATTCACCTTATTATTTCAACAGAGCGTAAGTAGGAAGAATAGTAGCACTTTCAGATATATCTCCGACAGTTCCCACTATTGCCGACAACAAAAAATGGCGGAAATCTATTTTCTTGTCCATAGGCTGGTTCCGTCACGTTACCTTCGAGTAAAGAAATATATGATGTCGAGAAAGAAGTCATCAAGGAGATAACTGAAAGTAATGGGTATCCTTCAATTATAGTGGAAAAGTTAACCAGGAGGAGAAAATTCAAAAAGTGTCTTCGTTTATCCTCGACTATTCAGAAAAAACCTAAAATTTATAGTTCTTTCATACGAACCAAAATACACCAACGGATTGTTTCCAATTTTCGAGAAATTGAATATGAAAGTGGTTTTCAAAACTGTTCGTACACTTTTGGGCAGCCCAAAAGACAAGATCACGGAAAAGGAAAAGTCTGGAATTCAAGAAATACTGTTTACAGTTTTACAGAAACCCAACACGTGTTTCTCTATACAATAGCTTCTTCAGGCGTCTCTAATTTGGAATCTCTGGCCTAAAATGAATCTATTCAAAACACCTTTACTTACTACACAAGAACAATCTCAATCATCGTCTGATGATACTAACTTGGTTAGCGAAACGTGTGTCGATAGATAGTATTTTTGTTCTGATGTCCGCTCTAAGACTGAAATTTAGATATTCCAAACAAAAAAAATCTTTCAAAATTACTCTATTTGTCCACGATTAATCGTTGCTAGATTGCGAGGTTTGTTGCCTCCCCAGTTCTTGCCGACATTACTTTAGCCCGCCTACTCTATTTGTAAGAGGTCCTGGGATCACTTACATGTTGATAGATCATCAAATCAGTTCGTTTAACTCTGCCAGAAAACACGCACCCGTTGTATTTTTTCAGAAACATTTGTTGACATTGTTGGTGGGCTCTCTCTCACTGTTTAAAATTGAATTTGCGATTGTTTTGATATTACTAAACCATGTACTTGAGATGCACTGTTTGGAACCTTTGGTGTAGTAATGAATATTACTGGAGTTTTTTCCCAACACCAAACCATCATTTTAACACCTCGACACGTGTTTCGATCATCAAGTGATCACTTGGTGATCGAAACACATGTCAATGTGTTGAAATAACGAATTTCACTAGTTCGGACTTCCATTGTCTACTATATAAAATGATTTGAAATCCCTGAAACAAGTAAAAAAGAATAATTAAAAAAGAATAGTTGAAAATAACAATTATATTAGGCAACAATAAACCTGAAATGAAATGATAGTGAAATAACCTACAAGTAAAAATATAATAATTGAATAAATAAAATTAAAGGAATGCAAAAAAGAAAATAATAAAAATAAAGTGTAGAGATTCCAAGTCACGTTAGTTCACGACGTTTCGATTGTTGGTATCTACAATCGTCTTCGGGTGATGACTGGACTGATTCCTCCGAGAGATGACTATTTTATAGGTCGTTGAAATACTTTCACTTTCTCTACTTTCCATTTTCCGCTTCACTGATTCTTTTTTACTTGTTTCAGGGATTTCAAATCATTGTATATAGTAGACAATGGAAGTCCGAACTAGTGAAATTCATCACGAAACATTGTCAATCACCTTCAAACAAATGTTGAAATAACGGTTTATATTTAGGTTTGGTTAGGAATCACACGTTAAAAGGTAAGACCTCGTTAGTCCTTAGCTCGCACAAGTTTCTCAACTTCTGAGAGTTGTCGTTTGTATGGGGGCGACACCTGATTAACGGAAAAACAGACAGACAGACTAAACCACTCTGCTCGTTTAAAATATTTTGCAATCCGATTTAACCTTCCGAATATAGTTGAAATCAAGAGATTATCTATCCTATTGATTAGTACTTTAATATGTTTTTCTCAAATTAAATTTAACAATTTTTTTCAGGTGATGAGTCAAGACGTGAAGAAAGAAAACCCGCTCCAATTCAAATTCCGTGCCAAATTTTATCCCGAAGACGTCGCCGAAGAGCTCATCCAAGACATCACCCTCCGGCTGTTCTACCTTCAGGTGAAGAATGCTATCCTCTCCGATGAGATCTACTGCCCACCCGAAACTTCCGTCCTGTTGGCCTCTTACGCCGTTCAAGCCAGACACGGGGATTACCAGAAGGCGCTACACAATCCCGGATTTTTGTCCAACGACAGGCTGCTACCTCAAAGGTAAAACAAACTAAATCCTTCTTTTTACATTTTTTATTTCAGTTGTATAAAATGATTTCACTTATTTATTCAGTACTTTCAATCAGAACTGCTCTCGAAACAGATCTCCGAGCTAATTTGTCTCTGAACCTCGATGGGTTTGTATATAATTTAATTACGAAAACTCCTCGAATTATTCTCGTACATTGGACGAGCTTGACAGGTTGCCATGTTATCGATATCTTTTGTCAACAATTATTAGTCGATTTATAAACCGTTTGACTTTAACAAAAATTAAGAAGTATTCGAGCTAGCTTCACAGTTTAGGTAGAAAAATACGAAAATTGTGACGCCCTTGTTTTCGATATTTCATCGGTTTTCTATGTTTCCCATTGAACTTAATTTACTTATAGATCAGTGTCGTGAAGGGGAACAATTCCTACATTTCAGATTACATTAGTTTAACTTATTTAAAGAATTCAATACTTTGCAGACCATAGTTTGACAAATAACTATAGACCAGTCGCTTTGGTAGCAGTGATATCAAAAATCTTGAGCGATCATCAATATGGCTTTCGGAAACAAAGATCAAAAGGCGACCATCTATCGTATGTCACCCATATTTGGAATAACGCAATCGAGAAACATAGAGGGTCAAGAGCTGTTGCGCTCGATATTCCTGAGGCCTTTGACCGTGTGTGGCATGAAGGTTTGCTGGCCAAACTTCGATGCTATGGCTCGCCAGCTTCCTGAAAGAACGTTCCCTGCAAGTGGCCGTCCATGGATATCTTTCGAGTACTTTCACCATCAACGCTGATATTCCCCAGGCATCCATATTATCTCAACCCTCTTTTATTGTATTTCAACAACTCATTGGAAAAACCAAGAATACAATATATTGTTTTGCTGACGACAGCACACTTGTCTCGTCATTCCATTTGAATTCCAGGACATCGGCTGTGGATGCACATCTTCACCGGCAGCATGAGGTTGCACATCTTAATGAGGATCTAGAGGTGATTTCGATTTGAGGTGAAAGTAACCAGGTTCAATTTAATGTCACGAAAACTCAGGAATCGGTTTTCTTCAAAAAGATAAATGTATCCTAACCGGATGTGAAGACAGACAATTCTGCTTGCTGTTTCGATAAGTTTCTTGGAGGTTGAAATGGACACCAATATGTGTTATCACTATCATGTCGCTGGAATTGCGAAAGCTGCTTCTCAAAAGCTTGAAACAGTGTTCCGAAACAGAAAACTGTACACACCTCAGCAACTTTTGATGCTTTATAAAGCTCAGATCAGACCTTTTTTGCAGTATTGTTCTCATGTATGGAGCTCCTCCCTTAAGCATACCCCGAAACTGCTGGATTCCATCCAGAAAATAGCCATCCGCCTAATTGGAGGCACGAACATTACTTGCAACCTTGATAGTCTGGAACATCGAAGAAAGGTTGGAGATTTGTGTCTTTTGTATAGGTGCTTTCACGGGAGGTGTTGAAGTGACTTGGCACATTTGATTCCACCAAGAACAGTACACATCAGAAATACGCGACAGACTGTGGCTGCTCATTTTTTTGAGGTTCAACTCAGTACACTTCAAACTTCACTGTTTAAGAATTCTTTCATTTGAAGAACTCCGTTTATGTGGAATAAACTTCCTGAGAACGTTTTTCCAAATTAATTCAATCTTCAGCGATTCAAATCCAGCGTGAATCACAACTTTCGCACAGGCACAGCTCTTTGAGCTTCTTAAGGATTTTCCTGTAGTGCTTACGTTTTGTCCTATAAAAAATTTTCAAAGCGAATGTCCTGCAGGTCAGTAGCACATACACAGTAGCAACAACTATAATCTTCCGATCTACCTATCTTACTCCTCCTCAGCAAAAATATCCTGTAAGAAAATCCTAGAAATTGTTCAGCTTACTTTGAATAATTAATCTTCTCACTTTATTCCATTGATATCTTATATGTTCAAGTACACATGAGTAAAACTACTTCTTCATGTGGATTCTCGAGAGTCCTCGAAGAGGTTGCAGGAAAAACTTCTGCATAGCTTATGCGTTACTGATATCTACTTATCCTAAGTTTCATTGACAAATCTATTATCAGTTCAAATAATAACATTTTAAGGAATATCTTTATTAAAATTCAAGTGGTGAATTTAGATTCAGGTAAATATTTGGTTATAAATGGTTTCTTCTCGGTTTACCTGTATATCACCTTAGGCAATATAATGATAATAACCTTCCGCGACCCGCCCACAATATTGTTGGAGTACACTCCTGCAAGTGTTTGATAAAAGGTAGATCAAGTGTATGAATTTTATCATTATTTCGCAAATACCTATATTTAAAAATATGTGTGAATGAGATTTTTTATCTTACTGAGAGATTAAATTGATAACAGGAACCTTCTGTCTCATTTGTTTGTCTTATCAACCCGACCCCAATAGATGATAAAACATCATTTAAAATTCATCTATTGGAAACATTTTCATTTAGCGCGTTTGGCTAACCAAGTTGAAATCATCAGAAGATGACTAGGACTGTCTTAGTCTTGTTGATCAATGATCAGCACTTGAGGAAATAATCCTTATGTTGTGATTTAACACCAAGTTTGTGTTGACAGTAGAGTACAGGTACGCCGAACGTGATAGCGAGCCCGCCCCCATGCGGCGGGCTCCCTATACAGAGGCGTATCGTATGTTAGGTACTTGTTCTTTAATGCTGTTGGCGTTTGGCATTGTCTGAATAATTTGTGTTGTTTCTGAAAAAATTTCATCGCCTAACAAAAGTTTCTTTTTGGAAAAGTGTATCATCATATAACATTTCAATGAATTGTACTACTACCTATAATACTGAATAAAATATTAAAAGAAATTACAAAGAAGTCATGTTCCATTTGCTACCCTAATTAAAACTAATTATAGGCACGACACTGGCCGGCAAGAGGCTTATCGTAAGCCAATGGTAATTTAGTTGGGAGAGTTTATACCTGTGCGATCGTTGAATCTATAGTAAAACCAATAATGATTGAAAGTAAAGCGCGTTGTCATATCTAAATTTTACGTTACCAGTTTATAGCAGAATCAAAATATAGTAAGCAGTTATTCATTGTCATTAATTTTTTCAGACAAATCTCTACTCTGCTCTGTTCTTTGAGTAGAAGGTAGGCAAAGTGTTACCCTGTGTGTGCTTTTTCATAGTCGAAGACAAATAATATAGCATCATTTTTCATATTTAACGTTCTTCGCATCACACCATCATACTTTCTGGATGGTTTTCATGAATTGAAAAAGTCATCATCAGTTTTTGCATTGAATAGCAATTGTACTCGTTGAACAACTTAACGCGCTTGGTATACAGATGGATGATTGCGCTAGATACAAAAAGTCACTAGAAACCCAAATATCTTTCTGAAAATCACAACTGATGACTTCTATTACCATTGGACCTTTTTGAGGGCCGGTTTATTGGGCACATAGGCCATAAGTTGATGACTAAGCATACCTTCAATGTGAGAAAAAACTGTTAAAAACTAACACTTTTGTTATTTTATCAATTAATTTTTCATTAAATGACACAAGTTATAGCCCAATGTATACTGGAAAATTCACTGAAATTCAAGAGATTGAATAAATCGAAAAGATCGGATCACATGACACCGAAGTATACTATGCATATTACAGTTACCTGCTCGGTTAGTAGACACCACTTCCAGGCGGAAGTGAATGCAATTAAGCAAAAAATTACAACTAAACTAAAACGAAGGTTTCCTTAAGGATTTTCGCTAGTTTTTTAATGGTCAAGACTTCTGGAACACGTTAGCCTTACTAAATTAACCCCGTCACACATCATTTGATGGTTTATGAAGAATATTATTTTTGAAATCGGTAATTTGATTTTTTTGTGAATATGAGTAGTGTTTAAATTTAATTGCAATTATTTTCTGTAATTCGCTTTGGCTGATAAAGGCGTCTTTGTTCAAATATTTTGTATCTTGCTATTTATTCACCTACAATACTCTGAATCAGAATAATTCTAATAAATGTGACCTCGTTCAATGAACAGTTGCTAATTTTGCAAAACGTACTAACCGTGATGATGTCATTCCCCATATTGTCATGGAATACAAATATCCAGAATGTTGAAATAAATAAATTCAAAAAGATTGTCTTGGCAGAATATTACTATTTAGAATGTACGTAAATAATATGAAATCACCATGAAAATGTTACGTGTTGTCGTTCTATTACTAGACTGATAAAAAAAATATTGAAAAAGCATTTTTCTGTTATTATGCGACGCTGTTCATTCATTTGTTGCGGACGCCTTTGAGAAGGTAGTATTAGATATTTAAAACTAGCCCCCCGATCGGGATTCTAACGAGTAGCAGAATATATATGCCTACATACTTTTTTTCTATCATAGTATCACATCAGTTTGTCCATGAAGAAGGTTCCTGTTTTGACCTGAAGGACGTTATTTTGAAGATATAAGGGCCGGAAGTTCCACCTCTAGAAAGTTTAGAACACTTCATTACATTTGAGAGTATTTAAAAGTATTCTACAACAATCCAGAATATCCCGGAACCTTCTGGAATGTGATGAATGTTCGGGAATAATTCGGATCGTACACGTAAACTGCTAGTATTTCTAGGTTCCATTCTAACTTCAATATATAATGTTGTCCATCAAAACTTTAGGTAGACCTAATTTGTGACGTCACTCGTCGCCGAGAGGTCGCTATCAACTTTTTGTTGTAATGAAAGGGGGATCTTGTGATATGGTTTATTGTAAGACATCGAACCAGCCATTCTTGAATATATAGTAGTTTTGTATTCGTTATAAATTCCGCAAACAAACAAGTATTTCCGAGTCCCATTCCTGCCTGGTGATAAAGAAGTCTGTTTACGTTTCTTACATTTTGCTAATTTCGTTGCAATCACCTTGTTATATTCTCGTTATATTCAAGAGGGTTGCATTATATGCATTCCACCTAAATAACCACCAGTATACTTATCAAACCGGCAAATTGACAGATTCAGCATCAAACCTTGTATAAAAAATCTCCCAATCCCTTGACAACAAAGAGATTGCGGTTGCTGTATTTCTTGATATTGAAGGAGCATTTGACAAAGCACTACCTAAATCTATAGGATTGTTTCTGGCCAGAAAGGATATAGAATCGACCATAACTGGCTGGATATATGCCATGCTGGTAAACAGAACTGCAACTACGACTCTTCAAGGCGAGGCCATTAGGTTCAGGGTCACCAGAGGCATATAACAAAAACTAACAACACTCTAGATTTTTCCATTTACAGAAAACCAACCCAGACTGATCATGTCATTCCTTTCAATTCATTTCATCCCATGCAACATAAAATGGCTTCCTTCAATTGTTATGTTAACAGATTGTTGAAAATTCCCTTATCTCCCTTCAATTTTAATTTCCTTAGACTTGACTTGTTTGAAGAGTTGGAGATTTCTAAAGAACTTTCCAACAATGATCATTGTTTAAATACTCAAGTAAACTTAAACAGAGATTTCCTTCCCCTTCATAAGAGGATTATGAATTATTAATTAATCACAGTTTATTGATATAATTTATTCAATATTTTTCCTCTACATATTCAATCAAACCCATAATGGATCACTCCTCAAGTTGGTACTATTATTTTAACATGACACTTGACACATTCTGTCTCAAGTAGTCCTTCTTCATAAGATTATTTGACTGAACCACATGGCCTCAATCCAAAAATGTATTTTATTGGCTATAAGCCTATTTTGTTTTATATAATTCAAGTATTACAATGTACAATTCACTTATCTTGATACTTCCTGTTGCCTGACAAGTAAGTAATCTCAAACAATTTTTCCAAATTTCTTAACTTTAAAAATTTTACAACTTCAATTTCACTAAATTCCCTTTTCAACTAGATCACTTACTTTCAGGTGAGCACTGGTGATGACGAAAGTCGAAAGCGCTTTGCAAGAATTTTAAAATATTATACACTTTAATACAAACCTCTTCGATTCATTATTTATTGCACTATTCGCCTCCCCGGTACTTCCTCCGCAATGCACAATGATTAGTCGCGATCCTTTGTTTGCAGGCATGTTAGGCGTACACATTCTCGAACCATCAGTCCACCCTTTCGTAACTGTGTCATACCAAGTTTCGTCCAAATAGAAAATTTGCCGTTATTCTTGTCTATATTTAATTATTTGTTCTGAGTATTTGTTACGCAATTCCACTATTCTTCTGCTTTTCATAACTGCTTGACGTTTGTTTATTATTTTAAATCTTAATCCTAGTTTCTTTATCCAATTCTGAAGAGTTTTGTTACAGCTAGCAGTTCACGTTATGGCTGGAAGTATTAAATTTCTTCCTTATGATTTCAGTTGTAGGAATCTCATTGCTTTTGTAACAGTCGTATATTGTTTTTTTCAATGATTTTATTAGATGAACATCTGAAGGTTTTGGTAATCCCCTATTACATCGCGTCTTGCGTTCATAAGGTTTGTTTTTGACTATTTTACATAGAGTTGAGAAAGGAATTTCGGTCAAATCTGATGTTGCTTGTAATAGTTTGTTCCCCTCGAATCCAAACTTGAGATGTAGTTTCTTATATACATTGAAACATACTCTCTGTGTTTCAATCCCCATTGACCTAGATGAATTAAAAGAGGTTATTCGAGAAATTAGAAATGAAAGAATATCAGGTATTGATGAAATGTCTGTCAAAATCTTTGAGACACTGCCAGATTATGTTTTGAACGTTCTTGTCTCATTGATAAATGATTCCTTTGTGAATGGCTCATTTCCTGAATTTTTAAGAACTTCTGTAGTGATTCCGCTCTTCAAAGGTGGTGCTAGGGATAATCCAATAAACTACAGACCTATATCACTTGTTCCAACCTTATCCAAAATTATTGAAAAAATCATAAAAAGGCGGATAATAACATATTGAGTCCATAGCAGTATGGGTTTCAAAACAACAAAAATACAAGTGATGCAATTTTTAACTTTCTGCATAAGATTTATAGTAATATGAATTCTGATGCCTATACAGCAGATGTATTCTGTGACTTTTCCAAGGCATTTGACCTCGTTGATCACGGAATCTTACTGCGGAAGCTGAAACATTATGGTTTTGAGCACAGAAGCATTAGATGGTTTGAATCGTACTTATTGCATCGAAAGCAAATTGTAAGACTCTCAACAGACTCAAATGTAGGAGAAATCAAAGCAGGCGTCCCTTAAGGTTCCATCCTAGGACCCATCTTGTTTCTATTGTAAATTAATGATATAACACAACTGGATCAAACTGCTAGCATTACATTATTTGCAGACGACACAACGTTGCTGTGGCAGGGAAAAGATCCTACAAAACTAGCTCAAGATGCCACTGTAGACATGGAAAAAATTAAGAGCTGGTGCGACTCAAATAAGCTTTCTTTAAACTTTGATAAAACCCATCTCCTCACCTTTAAATGTGAACTCCCACCTCTTAGTTTGAATGACAACATTCTCGAGATGAAATTGTCCTCCAAATTTTTAGATTCATATTATCAAGTTGAATAAAAAACTTGCATCTGGCTGCTTTGTATTGAAGTCAGTTTCGAAGGAACTGGGTAGAACCTTTGCAAGATCTGCGTACTTTGCCTTTGTGGATGCACATATAAGATATGATATTGCCTTCTGGGGAGTATGGAGCAAAAGCATGCTGCAGACTGTTTTCGTTTTACAGAAGCGAGCTGTCCAGTATGTGGGGCAAAGTTCCAAGATCACTGCAAACCATTATTCATTGAACAACGAATTCTGACAATAAAATCTCTATTCATTCTTGAAACAGTAAGTCTGATCCATAAAAATAAATCTGCTCCTGATGATATAAACGAGCCACACTATTATACACGTCAAGCTAACTTGATCAGACTTCCCCTGCCCACAACAACAATGATGAAGGACTCATTGATATACAATGGAGTAAAGATGTACAACAAAATTCCCATATAGCTGAAGAGTTATTCCTTGAATATTTTCAGGAAAAAATTAAGCGACATTCTGATTGATAAGGCCTATTATAGTTTAGATGAATTTTACAATGACAACGCTTTTTATGAATTATAGTTTACTACTGTATGTCACTATAATATAGCATATTTTTTTAAAGATATTTTTTGAATTTTAAATTATATAGCATTTATTTTGTTTCGTAAAAATGTGTTTGACAACTTATTTTATATAAATGGGGTTTTAGAAATTACTTTTATACTATTTTGACATAGTTCAATAATCGTTTGTCAACAAAAACTCTTTCTTAGGACAATAAACATATTTCTCTCTCTCAATATTCAAATACATCCGAATCTTATTCACTGGTATCTCTTTTTCGCATTGTTCACCATCGCTATTGGAATTACTACACTGAGCAAAGTCGGCGTTATTATCACACTCGTTATTACTATTAGTAATTGTCCAAGGACGCCACATTTCAAACAGATAAAAGTTTTAGGTAATTATAACTGCACCAATATCGAATTTCAACACGACGGCGATAACCATCCCCACATTCCCCGTTTTATATTCGTCACCGTAACATGACTTCAAATTTGATTTTATGACTCTTCAGCCAATCATAAAACTTGGTTAGTACCGCCAATTCTACAGTCCACGTGAATTAGTTCTCAGCCGGTTCATTTCTATGTATTGGTTTTTTTTTGCTTTTAAGAGTGCACAATATCGTTTACTTCGACTATACATTTTTAACTTGAATATTCTGGCTGATAGAAGATTAGAATCAGATATTACACTAATTTCCAAAATAATCAATGGTAGCAATAATTTCCTTGAACTTGTTGAACTTATAACTTTAAACATGAATCCAAAGAGAACAAGAAATACAGAAGTTATCATATCAACTATGGTCAGAATGAGTCCATAGGTAGAATTTTAATACTTGCAAACAATTACAATGTGGATTTAGAACTCTTTAATTGTTCTTTGGAATCATTTGAAAAACCGCGAAAAAAGTGTGATTTATTGGCTTATTCTTGCCTTTTTTATAGTTTTTCACTACATCTAACTGATAGTTATCAATTATTGTTACAGTCCATACATATGTGTGAAAATTTTTATTTTGTATATTCATTTTTGAGACCAGCAAGTCAGCTTCGGATGTACTATATTCAATTATCCAAATTATTTCAAAGCCAAATGTTTACGCTTGTTTAAATTCCATAGGGGGACATTTTGACTCATCTGTCAATTTCAATATCACAAGATTTAAAAAATGGTTGAATAAATATGTTTCTTTTTTTCAGGGTAATGGACCAACACAAAATGTCCAAAGACGAATGGGAGAATAGCATCATGACCTGGTGGAAAGAACACAGAGGGATGCTCAGAGAAGATGCAATGATGGAGTATTTGAAGATAGCTCAGGATCTGGAAATGTATGGAGTGAACTATTTCGAAATTCGTAACAAGAAAGGAACTGAATTGTACCTTGGTGTCGATGCCCTTGGTCTCAATATATACGAAAAAGATGATCAGTGAGTAAATCAGTCCTTTTTATTCAGGAATATTTTGTCATAATGAAGATTATCATTAAATGAAGAATGATTGTGAAAAATTTGTACACCATTGAAAAGGATAATGCTTGGAATTATCTTTAACAGTATTGAAGACCTCAGCTTAGCAAAGCATTCGTCCTCTCCAGCATAGCGTCTTCAACACTTTGGTCAAACATAACCTCATCATGGGTTTATGCAGTTGTCATCATATCAGTCTCAGTCTATATCTGAATTACCATTTACAGCACTGATAAGGTTTTGATGAGACATCATTCCTTGAATCTATTATCCAAAATGATACCTATTTGGCTAAGATATATCAGTTCGTTTTCATGTTTGTTTCATGTTTCAAATACCATATAGCCACAAGAGAACTCTTTGTTGAAAACCTGGCATCTTTTACACCTTTTTGATACTGACTGGATTCAAATGTTCCTCCGATATATCAAAAAAAATCTGGTTCTATCCTAACCTAACTTGGGTAGTCTACATCCCACAGATTATGTTCCAAAATATACCGACATACACTTCCAGGCCATTTTTCATAATATTCCTTATAAATGTCATTTTAAAATTAAGATAAGGTAAACCCACAGCTATAAATGTCAGAAATACCAAAAAAGAAGAAAAAGTATGTGTTATTTCAATGGATTTTGTCGTTTATACATCATATCTATTCTAGGTTGACTCCGAAAATCGGCTTTCCTTGGTCCGAAATCCGCAACATCTCTTTCAACGACCGTAAGTTCATCATCAAGCCTATCGACAAGAAGGCACCTGATTTCGTTTTCTTCGCACCGCGCGTGCGCATCAACAAGCGTATTTTGGCCCTTTGCATGGGCAACCACGAGCTGTACATGAGACGCCGAAAACCTGATACGATCGATGTCCAGCAAATGAAGGCCCAAGCAAGAGAAGAAAAACAGGCCAAGCAACAGCAGAGAGAGAAGCTCCAATTCGAAATCGCTGCCAGGGAAAGGGCGGAGAAGAAGCAGCAGGAATACGAGGATAGAATTAAATGTGAGCAAGTTTTTAAAAAAAAAATCAAAAAACCAAGAGTTTTTGAAATTTTCCTGTTATCAAGAAATTATTTTAAAATTTACACTTGATTATTCATTCAATGATTCTTTCTGGTATAGAAATTGTCCACATAGGGCAAGTTATTCAAGGTAAAGCTACAGGTGACTAAAATACTAACATATTGAAATTTTCTTATAAATTCACATGACGTTATAAAGTAAGTGTCTGGAGTTCTAACTTCATGAGGTTTCAGAGTTTGAATTATGTGGATTCATTCCTAATATGTACATTTCTAATATACCGGTTGAGAATTGACATTGTTTGGGGGTTATTTTCACCTGGATAGATGGAATGAATATGTCTAATTTGATATTCATGTAAATCCACATGTTTTGATCTCAATAATACAACATAACAGGCAACTTTAATGATATCAGGCAGACCAAAGGTAGAATATTGAATTGGTTTACAAGAAAGTATCCATGAAACATTCTTAATAGCTCTAAGTGTTTCAAATTGCAGAGGGAGAATTTCCCTACAGAATAATGCCATCAGATACAGTCAAGTTGAAAAACACTGAAAAGTGACACTTCACCCTTTCATTTGTAGCAATGAATTGAATCATTCATTATTATTGTTTTCATGTGATAGTATATACGGGAATTCAGCAAAGTAGATGTTCCTCAGACAGTATTGTTACTTTTTCCCTGTGGGTTAAATAATACTTGACTACACTATACAATCAAACTTAACTTTAGTTCTCCACCAAACACTTAAACTATTATTCAAATTTCTATTGCCTTATTAGATCGCTCTGTACCGCACTGTCCACTAAACATGACTTCTTCGATCTCGGTGTGAGTCGCACTTACGGCAAACGAACTATCCCGAAACCCGTAGAGAATTCCTCAGAAGTCCATCGAAGCGGTCGTCGAGTTGGGCGTGGTCTTTGTCACGTCACAATTAATTTATAACGACCAGCGGCGGCTGGCGTTAGTTTATTAATGGGATGATTTACAATACTATAAATAAAAAGATTCCCCATACATCGAATCTGATCTGAGTTTCATGTAAATTACGGATCATCCTCCCAAGTAGTACCCAAGAACTTCATTGCTGAATTGAAAGGGTTTTATTTTTATTTGTATCAAGATAGAGTAGTGAAAAACCATTTCCCAATTTATGTAAAAGGTACTCACATGAATATTCATTCATTTCACAGAATTTCAGTGCGTTATTATACCCTGGCAAGTATTCAACTGTGTCAGCTATGTACAAGAAGAATAATTTTTATTGGAGCTACACACTCTCCTATCTAACTCACAATTTTACTTGTGCATAATCTGTCTGAATTTCTTTAATACATCCATCTTTTCCTCTGCAACATATTTCTATGTGTTTTTGTCTGCTAGGGAGATATAATTGGAACTATTTAGGCGTAGTTCCTCGTAATCCACAAAATTGAAGCTTTAGATGAAATGTTTGTGAGATATACAATCGAAAGTTATGCTGATTCAGCAGGATTTTAATCTTTCTCTTGAAGATAATCACTTGGTGATCGAAACACGTGTCGAGGTGTTAAAAATAACGATTTGGTGTTGGGAAAAAACTCCAGTAATAAAATTTGAAGTGATTGGGAAGTGTGCCATTTAAAAAATATAATGTAACTATTTGAACCAATTATATCTGTACTAAATTTTTCTACATTAGCTTAAGAAATTTTATCAGATCCAGTAGATATTTTACTTTTTATATTTGCATTCACTTGAGAATTATCATTTTCACAAATAGATTTCACAATATTTTTTGTGCCTCCATAAAAAAATTTTGTCAACCACAATTCCAAGAATACATATATTCTTGCTTTCAGCCATGCAAGAGGAAATGGAAAGAAGCCAAGCCAATCTCCAAGAGGCCCAGGAGATGATTCGAAGGTTAGAAGAACAGCTTAAACAGCTCCAGGCTGCCAAAGAGGAACTGGAGCAGCGGCAGAACGAATTGCAAGCGATGATGGAACGCCTGGAGGAGAGCAAGAATATGGAAGCTGCGGAAAGACAGAAACTAGAGGACGAGATCAAGGCCAAGCAACAGGAAGTGCTTCGCATTCAGGAAGAGGTGAGAAAGATGTTTTTCATGTTCTAGTCAAAGTGCTGATAATGAATTTGAAGACGGCAATAATAGAGTAAATGATATTTTTTCACCGTTAATAATACATATGCAGTGCGGACGTAAATAGTCCCCCCCAACCTATGAATATGGCCAAACGCTGCTCAGAACCATCAAGACCTTGTTTTTGGTCAACAGTGAGCTCGCGTGGCACCCACTTTGAACAGAGCTTTCTCATAGTCAAATGCTCATGCAATATAGAGCCAACATATTCTTTCAATATCTTTACAATGTCAGCTAACTCACGCAACTTCACTTCTCGATAATTCAAAATAATTTTATGGATTTTTTTCATGTTTTCTGGTGTTACTGCCTCATTTGAACGTCCACTGCGTTCTGCATCATCAATGTCTCTACGACCACATTTGATATCAGCAAACCATATCTGATGGAGCGGATTCCTTATAATACTTTTCAAGCCATTGCTTCACTTGAATGGTATTTTTTCCCATTGAGAAGCAGTGTAAAATTTCTGCTTAGTGCTTACATTACTATCCAGGCCAGTGTAGTCAGAAATCCAGACTAAAGACAATTTGTCTTACTATTGAGGAGCAGTTTTTTGGTAGTTCAATACCAACTTGGAGGTTTTTTGTAGAGTCCTAGTGGCTATCCGAGAATATTTGTATTGATTTGTGTGAGGTTTCAGCCAATCTCATGTACACTTCCATCAGAAATATGGTCGCATAGGATCATGGCATACGAATATCTTTATCATGTGTCTGCGATTATACAACTGCACAAGAACCTGGGGTTTTTTGATCCATCTTTTAACCAACAGCCATCTAATTTCAGTATTTCCTTCTCCAAGAGAATCCCATCTTCTCTATTTAGGATCAGGACTATATAAGGCAGGTTGTAGTTAACTATTGGAGGCATTCCCAAAATGCCGAGACTTTCAAAGTCAACTAGTAATCTGCTAAGCTCTGTTCAGGACAACATATAGGAGGTTTTTCATGGCTGCTGACAGTAGTGTTGATGGTGTTGGAGACAGCCTGTACACTAGAGAACTTTTTATCCACTCATTTTAGGTCGATTTAGGCCTGTATTTCGGAAAATTGACATACCCAGCTCTAAATTTGTATAAACTTTGTATTTTGGCATCATAAAAGTATTCTTAAAATTCACATTTGATTCAACGGCCGCAACTTCAAAAATTGAGGGTCAAAATTCAAAAAAACCGACTTTTTGCACGTTTTTTACCAATATCTCGTTTCCAATGGGTTTTATGCTAATTGTACTTATTATCAATATTGTATAGAATCAAATTCTCTACAACTTTTGTTCCGAACACTTTATCATACGTTGAATCGTTTTTGAGATAGAGGGCAGCGCGAGCGCAGATTAAATATCATTTAAAATCAACTGGTTGTCCCAATCGAAATCAGCTCATTTGAGGTTTATAAATTATTACTCAATAAATAATTATAAATAATTTTCATTTTTTATCAACAAATACATCAACACTAAACAGGCCAGAGATGATGCAGATGTTCTCATTATTGAGACAGCTATTGAAGAATCTAAACGTCAAAGAACAGCAATTATAGTCGGTGAAGATATTGATTTACTTGTGATTTGAATTGGGCGTATACTATCTCTTGAACAAGAAATTTTCTTTAAAAAAGTTGGCAAAGCAAATGTGAAAATGGAAATATACTCCTCTAAGAGTTTCGACAAATATTCAAGTTCTAAAAACACATTTTGTTCCTTAACGCTTTAAGCGGCTGTGATACGACTTCTGCGCTCTTTAAAAAAGGAAAAAAAACGTATTTAAGAACATTCAAGAAACTATCTAATTTGGATGAACTTGCCGCAGCATTTAAAGAAGAAAACTGCCCGGTTCAAAGATTATTTGATAGTGGATTGCAAACTTTATTAGCTGTTTATAATACTTCAAAATCTGAAGATACCATCAATCATCTTCGTTATGCACAATATGTCAAGCTAACAAAGATCAATAAACCTGTGCAGTTATCAAATATCCCACCAACAAGTGGAGCAGCTCACCAACATTTTAATCGTGTTTATTACCAAGTTCAAACTTGGTTAGGACATGATTTGGAACCCCAGGAATGGGGTTGGACAATGCGTAATGGATTGCTAGAACCTATCATGACCATTTTACAACCTGCTCCAGATGAGTTACTCAATATGATATTCTGTAACTGCAAAAGTGGTTGTGGTTCAAGATGTGGATGCAGGAAAGCGGGGTTGCAATGCTCTTAAGCTTGTGACCAATGTAGTGGGCAAGTTTGTCTCAATGCTTGTACCATATGAGACCGATGTTAACGAAGATAGGTCCTTTGATCCAGAAATCATGGAAGAATTGGAAATGAATCTGGGTGAAGATGATAACGCCCTTGAATTTTTACAGCTGCGAGAAGATGACGACGATGAAGAAGAAGAAAATTGAAATTTAAACTCATTATTCTTTCAATTATTTTATCTGTTTATACTTTTATGATACAAAAATACAAAGGTTTTACAAATTTACAGCTGGGTATGTCCACTTTCCTAGGCAAACCCCCTAAAATGACTGGACTATTTGAGATGTTTATCGTGAAGCGTTCGGCAAAGGGATTTTACATAGGGCTTAGTGTAGAACATTTTTTTTACAGTAAGCTTTCAAAGTAACAAAACATCTGAATAAAAAAATCATTGTAAGTTTTTTATAATTTGAAGTTTCTTGAAACACTTCTTCTAAATTTTTACCAGGTGTTAGATATTCCTGTGGACTAATATTCCAAAAATATATTACTTAATTTTCAACTGAGAAATGAGTATATAAATATTTATTGAAATTATTAACCCCAAAATTGATAGTGTACACAAGATATTTAAATTAAACTCTACAGAAGATTCAAAAATCATATAAAATAGTACGACCGAAATATCAAGAACTCTATACCCATCACCGTAGTTGCGTGACGGGTATAGAGGTCTTCGACACCAGATGCAGGGCCTGCCATGAGGTGCCTGAGACTTTTCACATCTTCTGTCGGCATTTCCAGCATATGGGATCTCGGCCTAGATTCATCTACATAATGCGGCCCTAAGAGTGCTATATTTCCACCTTCAGCAGTCTTATATTGTTAATGGGACACCAGTGCTGCCTTATGCTCCGGTTGATATTGAATCCGTTGTGAATAATGAGCGGTGCTGAGTTTATTGAAACTACTGGCTCCCCACCCTCAGGCAGACACAAGCTAATAGACTTATTACTGACTGAAATGTCCTTTTCATCACCTAAAGTTATAAAAGTTAAAATACCTAACCAAACAAATATTTCTCTACAACTTTCTCCAGGTTTGGCTTCCACCATACATCGTGATATCTTTTTTGTATTGATGATACTTTGACGTATGAGCTACAAAATTCTAACCATAGTTCAATGATTGAATGAACAATGATTGAACTAATAACATTTGAAGAAAAACTAACATTTTGCACAACTTTGTGCTGTATTCAAATTCAGAACAGATACCATACTAGTAGTATTATAATTTAAATTTTTCAAGTTCATTCTAAGCCTTCAACATTTTTTCCTATTCTGTTTTTAGGTCGAGCTGAAGGATTCCGAAACCAAACGTCTCCAAGAAGAAGTGGAAGAGGCTCGTCGTAAGGAGGAAGAGCTGAAACAGCAGCAGATCGCCAATGCCACCAAGGGGCATTTGGAGGAGAACGATCATAACGAAGATGACGAATTGGTCAACGGTGATGTCAGCAAAGATCTCAGTACTGACGAGAACATTGTCGATCCCATCGAAGATAGGCGCACGCTCGCCGAACGCAATGAACGTTTGCAAGATCAGCTACAGGTGAGATTTTTACACAATCATTTTACTTACAAAGGTAGTAGTTTCTGAGAAAATTGTGCTTTGAGAAACAGATGATTGTCTGTTGATGGAAAAAACGACTGTCATTGTATTGGAAATCAAATAATAAATTGATGGATGTAGCCGTTACTACGTGGTAGGAGATCATAATGAAAAGAGAAATGAAAATTTCTATGTTTTTTACCACTTTTAATTGTAACTAACGTTACTGCAGTTTCGTCCTATATGGACATTCTCAAACTAATACAATAAACTCAATAACTCATTGATAAACTCAATGGGTTTATTGTATTAGTTACAATTATTAGTGTTGGTTACAATTAAAAGTGGTAAAAAACATAGACATTTTCATTTCCCTTTTTTTAATCAAATAATAATTTACAACTTATCCTAATCTTTTTCCAGCGAGAATCCCATTATCTCCCCTTGAAACTGGAGATGGTACAGTTGAACCTGTCAGTTATTTCATACCTTTTATAGAATTGAGTTTTTGATTGTCTATTTCTGCTCTCCCTTTTCTCAATTTCAGTTTATAAATATACTTGACTAGTTTTTGACTATGTAAATGTCTTGCCATCATATCATATCAAGAGAATCAAGAATCATCTGGGAAAACTACAGTATCCTCCAAATTAAATGAAAGTTATATGATCCCCAAAAATGGGTTCTGGGTACCATCCTGTTTTTACAGAATATAAATGACTTAATCTGGCTACAGATTATATAACCCTGTTTTAGCAAGATTAAGATCACCAAAGATAGCAAACAAACATTGATACTGATCAAATCAGAATAATAATAATAATCTTTAGATTGGAATTCTCATGTCAATAATGTTTATACCAAAAGCTCAATCAATCATTTTTTGCAATAAATCGGATGAACACTATGCACGAAAGTGTATTTGGTACATATCACATAAATACTTTCTCAAATATTTTCCTGAATATTATGTCTGGGGGCTGCCGTGACAGATTCTAAAAGGGTATTCAATAGAGCAAAAACAGATTGTGAGAATTATATTTGATATGGAATATTGATGAAGCTTTAAACCAGTTTTTATATAGAAAAGGGAATTTTTGACTATTCCTTAGTTGGAGTTAGAAATAAGTTTTGAACTTTCTTGACTTTAAGGTCTTCTCGTGACTAATTAAAGAGATCAATTAAAAATACCCGGTTACAAGACAATAAATGTAAAAAAACTTCCTTTTTAATGCAATCATCTTCTATAATAAACTGCCAGTTGTGATTACAGCCAGCAGGAATAATCGAATGATAGTGTAGTTTTTCTTCATTAGTTGGTTATGGTGAATTTAGATATGTAGTACAGTAGAACTCATATTTTCCGGATTAATTGGTACCAAATAATCAAATATCCTAATAACTGGATTTGACCAGAAATAAAAATTTGGAAAGAAAGAGCCCCACATAGGTTAAAGTAACTGAAAAATAACTGACTCTAATGCCATATTCCAAATATAATTTCATCAACTGTAAACATTAAAATTAGGACTACATACTTATGTAAGTATGTACTGCTTGAATAGTAATTTCGTCTGACAATTCTAAAGTTGAAATTTTTTTCTAGAAGTGATCTAGACAATTGGTCATTTTAATAGTTAGTCTAGTGTAATACATTTCAATGTGAAAAAACTGGAAAATGAAATTTCATGAAGTGACCTTTATACATAATATTGCAAAAAAGCAAAATCTGTTCTAATAATATTTAGTATCAGTGATCAGGTTCCTTTTCCTCTTGCAATGAATAAATAATATACTCTCACCAATAAAATTCATGACATATCTTTCAGTTTCTAAACATACTTTTCATGATACTAATTTTCAGACGTAATGTGCGTATTTTGTTATAATTTAACATTGAAAATATAATTATACATATTTTTTTCATTAACTTTCATCTATAGTACCTAACTATCCTCATATTCAAAATTTTATGTTCTGGAAAAGCTGAGGAATATATTAAGGAAAATAATCAGATTCCTTTATTATTATAGGTAGGTGGTCCAATTTGTTGTGGACTGTGCAAAAACAGGAAAAAAATGCTTCAGGTATTTGAAAGTGGATGTTGTTTTCAACCTGTTTTGTAGTAAATTAAAAAACTAAAGACATCGATTGCTTTCCTTATTTAATCCTTGGCTTAACCGCATGAAATTAACAAATCAAAAAGCAAAAATTCAAATTATATATGATAATCTCATCATCATCAATGAAAGGTCATTGGTAATTTTTCGATCTAGAATGCTAAAAATCATTGTTATCAATTTTAATGACAGAACCCATTCGACTGTCGTCAATGTCGAAGCCTCACTTTGCAACAGACTGCATTTGGGCCCCTCGTTTATCATTGATGAGAGAGAGAGAGAGAGAATCGATCTCATGAATGCTGTCTTAATTCTATATTGATTTTCCAGTTTTTTTTAAAACAATTTCCGAGTCATTAATAAAAAAAATTAAAAGTAATAGTGCACGTTGGGAGCCTTGAAGAACTTCCAAATATATGTCAATCATCTCGACAGTGTAAGAATATACTTTAATTCTTTGCTTTTGTTTAATTGAGGAACTCAAAACCATTTCTTGAGTAGTTATTGAATCCTATATTTCGCAGTTTTTGCAGTGATACGTTGTTTTCCACCCTTTTGAAGACCTTGGAGAAATCCGTATATATGCAGTCAACCTGTAACTTCTCCAAGGCCTCCAACAATCCAGATTTTTACAATATCATGTTCGTAAATGTGGACCTGCTCTCTATGAAACCATGTTAGTGAGCATCTACTAGTTCCTTGCATTGACAGGTAATTTGGTCATTGACCAAGCAGTCAAATCACTCAAGTACGGATGACTGAATAACACTCCCTCTATAATTTTCTATTTTTTTTATCTCTCGCCTGGCCTTAAGATTGGTCTAAAGAAGCTATTTTTCTAGACATCTGGGAAAATGCATCAGTAATCTGTTTGAAATCTGTTTTTCCGTTAACCAGCTGTCGCATCCCTACGAACGACAACCCTCAGAAGTCGAAACTTGTGCGAGTTCGAGACTAACGAGGTCTTACCTTTTAACGTGTGATTCCTAACACGGGTTGGACGATAGCAAGTGAAAATCGATCATTCAGTCGGAGCTTGAACCACCGACCAACACGGCGGTCGATTTGAGTGAGTGAACAAAGCACCCACTTCGAACCGACCAGCTAACGACCGAGATGAATTAAAACAATCAGTAATGGATGAGCAAGGAAGCGTATTCATTTTTTAAAAAAGAAATGGGGAAACCTGTCGGGCCTGGGAGTTAACTTGTTTGAGAGTTCAATTTCTCGTAAATGTTGTAGCTGAGACTCTGAATATAATATTATTTTTATTACTTTATATATTTCAGCAACTCGAATACTAAGCCTTTCAATATAAAAATTATTTTTCTTTTTAGGCTTTGAAGAAAGATCTTGCTCAATCTCGCGATGAAACAAAAGAAACTGCCATGGACAAAATTCATAGAGAAAATGTTCGTCAAGGAAGAGACAAATACAAGACACTCCGTGAAATTCGTAAGGGCAACACCAAGCGTCGCGTGGATCAATTTGAAAACATGTAAAATTCTGCCAATCATATGTCAATTACTAGGAATTTATTCTTGAAAATCTTTAAAAACCTTCAAATGCTCAATATGAGATAATTTCATTCAAATACTTTAATTCAAGTTTTCGGTTCAGTTTTTACTTAATTGGTAAGTATTATTATCCTTTTTCTTTGTCGAAATGTAAGATACTTGAGCCTATTGGCTCAGATTAAGTGGCCTTAGATATCTACCATTTTTTGCTTTGTTAGATTTATTGCTTTTTATACATACATATATATTTTAACTATGTTATGAAGTGTTTCCACTTGTGATAAAATCAAGTTTGGTAAAACTCCAACTGAACTGAAAATCAAAACTCGCCAGATCTGCAAAACTAAATTTTTTTTAAAGAAAGCATTCCAATTTATAAGTAGTTTCCTGTCATTAATCTTAGTGCCATTTGTTTATCGGGCTAAAATACAAAAAATAAATATTCCTGAGTGTTGAAAAATCTGCGTGTTATTTTCCAGAAAATCAACAATATTTGTATAATATGGAACAACTACTATATTTTCTACACCATAAGGTCAGGTGCTTCTCAAAGGTGAGATGTATAATTTCAAAAAACCTCTCACATTTTCTAGAAACACAATTTCAAAATATTTATTGTATCTGAAGTATGTTGGTCTATCCTACATATCAATGTTTACTCAATTCAAAGAACGCTTGCTTTCTTTTAATCTGAGAACTGATTGCATATTTCCTTCTGTACAATTTTTCTAAAACAAGACTTTTGAAGTATCTAATAAAAATGTTTTTAAATTGTTTGATATGATGTGTACATAATTTACCGTGTTGCCTTCTTGTAGGGTAGTTAATTTTGAATATTTTACTCTTAGTGTTGTAACTTTTCATAATAAACTTTTCTAATTTTGGTAGGGGAAGTTCCAAGTTTTGCAAATGGTTTTATTTTTAAGTTTCAAAAGGATGTTTCCCCATAAAAGTTCATGATTATTTTGTAAGCATTTAATACATATAACTCACATTCATTTATTTCAGACAGATTAGTTATGGATGACCTTTGTATAGTCTACTTAAACTACTCTTACTCCTGTGGAATTTTGTTAGGAGTATTTTCATCAATTATGTACTTTTAGGGTAATAATAAATATTATTTGGACTATGTTGACTTCATTTATATCATCTTAACTTCCTTACCAATCCACGAAAAAAATATTTTTTATAATCTTATTTATCAGTTGACAACTTTTTGAAAAACTTTTGATCTTAGGTTATTACTCATTAACCATTTCTATATGAGGGTATTTTTTTATGCAGTACTTCCTGTGTACAGTTTTCTTTATTTGACGTATACGTAGAACAGTCTTACTCAGAACAATTATAATGGAAGAAAAATGCAAAATACTCATTTTATTCAGCTCAAAGCAAGATGTCTCACACAATCCGACGTTACAAATATCGCACTGGTAAGTTGTATCAGTTCTTTTTTCATTCGCAGAATATACTGCACACCTTCTAACGGGAGGTCTTACAGTAGGTTTGGATTTCGGTATCTTTTTTATGAAGTGTCTTGCCGTGAGTCGTAAATGGTTCTCCTTTTGTTTATGCTATGAGAGAGGTGTTGATGCGTCTGGTTCACAATACTTTGCAAAAATTTGTTGACTTATTTGTAGTTTAAAATCTACCACACTAATCTTTTTTTATGTTGTTGATCATACAAGGCATGTGCATTTATGATAACCATATTCTGGAAATGTAGGAATAACTTTTTGTAGCATTTAATTGTTTACCGTCCTGAGTCTATAGAATTCATAAGCATGTCAGTTTGATCAACTCTCATATTTTTATTATAATCGAGAATGCAAATTAGCTTCATCACAGCAGCAGTATTAGTGTTTTTTATTCAACTCCATGCCATAATCATGTACCATACTGATCATATAAATGTATTTTTTGTCGCACCATTTCAGTACAAAAAATGGTCCACTTGACTGAGAAGTCATTTCATCTCATTTAAGCTTCTCAGTAATTTTCGGCATACATTTTCTTTTTTTATTGACGGTTCCACAAACATAGGTTTTTCGAATATGTAGCACAACTGCCAATGCAGAACTGTTGTATCAGTTACCTATGAAAAGAATATGTTTTGCCAAATATTCCTTAATTAGGGCTAGAACAATTTGATTCGATTTACCTATTAGTTTGTGTTCTTTTTGTAAGAACTCTCTCTACATCAGTTCCTGATCCAGTATAAATAATGAAATTCAAACAATATTTGGTCGCATAATCACACAACATGAATAATTTCAAACCAAAGTGATGCCGCTTAAATTTTATGTTTTGTTTGAAACTCGGTCTTCCTTTGAAAAGGAGGAGGCTTCCATCAATACATACATTTTGGAATGGTTCGAAGATTTCTTTTTTTAGGTGTTTATTTTATATAGTTTACCACCGTTCCTGATTTTTGTTATCGCAAAAATGCTACACCTATCTATCTCTTTTCTTCACATGTGCAAAGAAGGGAGTCTGTAACAAAGGATCAGTAGACCAGTATTCATATATTCTCAACTTTTTGCACCTAGTCATTATCATTGTTAGTCAAAAAAAAAGTATATAGTTCATTGGCAGAAATTTCTTTGGGATTTTTATTCTGTTTCATAAAATTTTCATCAATATATTTCAGGTACGACATTTGTCTGTTACTTTCATAAGCTATCTTCTCGATGAATTCTTGCGAGAAAAATAATTCCTAAAAGTCAATCGGTTTGGATAATACTACAAATAACACAAAATTAGAATTTCAAAGTCACAAAAAATAAGTTTATTTTACCATTTATGTCGGGAATCTGACAGCCACTAGTGCTTTTCCATACCCCAGTATCACGTGTGAATCGGGGATTATGTTCTCAGTCAAATGAAAAAATGGATTTTTCGATGTCAGTTGTCACGTCATCAATATCATTATGATCAGAATTTGTTTCATTTTCATCAGATTCAATGTTATCAGGCGTTCTTGAACCCTGTCACAGAAGATGAGATACTCTCAATAATAAACAAAATGTAGAACAAGAGAAGCACAGGTATTGATGAAGTACTCATACACATACTGAAAAGCTGTGCTTATGAAATTGTATGTATTCTGGCCTTCCTGATCAATCAATCTTTTGAGGAAGGAGTTTTTTCATATCAACTGAAGATAGCGATAGTGAAACCACTTCACAAAAAAGGGGATAAGTCGGACATTTCCAACTTCAGGCCAATCATTTTTTTAACATGTATATCAAAAATTTCTGAAATAGCAATGGTAAATCGATTAGTAAAATTTTTTACAAACTTCAAAATGTTTTCTAATAATCAGCATGGCTATCTGAAAAATAAGTCAATTGAAACTGCTTTGATGTATCTCAGCAATGAAGTCCTAGAAGCAATGGACAAAGGAGATCTATCATGTGGAGTTTTCATGGATTTATCTAAAGCCTTCGATTGCATAGATCATGACATTTTATTATGGAAACTCTATAAATATGGAATTCGTGGAAAATCGTACGACTGTTTCAATTCATACTTGAAAAATAGAAAGCAAATAGTAGAACTGAATCAAAAAGACAAAACGGCAAGATCTGATGCTTTAGATGTGTCTATGGGTGTCCCACAGGGTAGTATTCTCGGTCCAATATTATTTATTATATTTATCAACGATATTAATGAGGTTGATATAAACATTGCTCGCATGATCAATTATGCTGATGATACCAATCTTCTATTAACAGGTGCGAACTTACCTGATATTATAAAAAAGGGTAGCAAAATAATAGAACAATTCAAAGATTATTTTTTAGAGAATAAGTTAGTTCTGAACGATGGAAAAACAAATTGTATCATGTTCAAAGTCAATAACAGTATAGAAACACCACAAAACATAATTATGCACAATCAAAAAATCATTTGTAATACTTCAGTGAAGTTTCTAGGCATATACATTGATGACACTTTAAGTTGGAGTAGTCAGATAGACAACCTTTGCCATAAACTATCCTCGGTAACATACGCCATGAGAGTTCTAAAAAAAAATGTTGATCTTGAAGCACTAGTTACAGTATATTATGCGAATTTTTACTCCGCTATGAGACAAGGAATAATCATCTGGGGCTTATGTCATGGGTTTAATAGAGTTTTCCTATGTAAAAAAAATACCAGAATAATCTTTAATATAAATACAAGAGATTCCTGCAGAGGAGCCTTCAAGATCAACAAACTATGGAATACACAGTTCGAACTAATAAATCAACGTTCCTTAAATGCAGGATGGTGCTTATCAGCCGAAAGGGTAGGGGAGCTGGACTCCAAACCTGAAGGAAACGAGGATGACCTTCTGAGGATGGTGCTGATTCGATGGAACGTCAGTTTCAGCTTAACGTTGACGACGATGACGACATCGATCGCGATATACTGTTGAAAGACCGGGTTCACCGACTCCTCAGGGAAGATGACGATGACGACATCCGTCCAGCTTCTGTGGAAGAGCTGAAGGGATATATCAGGGCCGCAAAGGCTAAGAAAGCACCGGGGGTCGACTCAATAACTAACAAGTTGTTGAAGAGGCTCCCGGACAACTGCGTTGAGTGCTTACTGAATATAATTAATAGTTCGTTAGCCCTCAGACACTTCCCCAGTAGGTGGAAGCATGCGGTCGTCGTCATGATCCCAAAACAGGGTCAGAACCCGCTGTTCCCACAGAACTACCGCCCGATAAGTCTACTCTCTTCGGCGGCTAAGCTGGCTGAAAGAGTTGTTCTCCAAAGGCTCAACAAAGAAGTTGAGGACCGAAATGTTCTGCCTGATGAACAATTTGGCTTCAGGAGAGACCACTCCACTGAGTTACAGGCTCTAAGGCTGGTCGAAAACATCATCCGCGAGTTAAACACAAATAAAAAAGTGCATATTGTCCTATTAGACATCTCGAAGGCCTTCGACCGTATTTGGCACGAAGGTCTTCTGCACAAACTAAATGCGTTCGACCTACCTCGGGGCCTCGTCCGGTGGATCGGGTCCTTCCTGAAAGACAGGACATTTCAGGTTAGAGTAGAGGGATCTCTGTCTGAGCGCTGGTACCTTGATTGGAAGATCCCAGTGAACCCGGATAAGACTCGGGCAATAACCATGGGAAGACTGAAATCTTCTCCGGCCAGAAAAGTGAAAATCCCTGGAAGGGAGATTAACTGGAAAGCGCGGGTAAAGTACCTCGGCCTTCTAATAGACCGTAGGCTCACTTGGAACCCGCACATAACGTGCGTCAAATCAAAGATCGAGGGTCGGATAGCACGTCTGTACCCTCTGATAAACGGAAAATCAAAAATGAGTCTAAAAAATAAAATTACCATCTATAACACGATGTTCAAGCCTGTCATCATGTATGCTTCAGGCGTCTGGGGACAAGCGGCTCCGTCCAACATTTCCATTCTGGAAAGGTTGCAAAACAAGCTAATAAGGATGAATGTGAATGCTCCTTGGTTCGTGCGAAATAAAGCCATCTGCAGAGATTTGCAGCTGCCTTCCATTCGGCAGTCCATCCAGTCGAGAAATCAGAGAGTTTTCGATGATGCAGAAACTCATGAAAACCCATTAGTCAGGGAAGCTATGGATTAAACTGTAGACGTTCCCTCCCGATATAGAAGGCCCCGACACTCTGTCGAATGAGGCCCCTATATCTTCCGATGAAAGATAAACAACGTTTTCATCCAATTCACCCCAGCTGGGCAGGGGTACACCGTGAAGGGCGGTACTGATGTCTGAGGACATTCATGCCGCCATACCATTAACACCCACATCAGTTATGACCCGTTTGTCCTTCTGGCAAACATCAGTTCAAAGGGTAAGGGAGCCAGGCTCCAACCTGACCAAATTCAAGATGGATTTCGAGAGGGAAGGTGGGAGGTTCACAAAGCAACAATTTCAGAACCACGACTGTCTTCACAGCTGGAATCAAAATCATAAATTCAAAGATTTATATTTTATAATGCAGTGAGGGTCACAAAGCATCAATCTCAGAACCACGACTGTCTTCACAGCTGGAATCAAAATCATAAATTCAAAGATTTATATTTTATAATGCAGTTAATATACAGTTCCAACAGATGGCCCCACTTATAGGCAGCTACGGAATACTGAGTTCGAACGAATAAATCAACGTTCCTTAAATGGGAAGGTGGGTAGGGCAGCACTGATGTCTAAAGACTTCATGCCGTCACCTATTCAGTCATGAACCCATTGGTTCCTCTCAAGACCAACAATCAGCCAAAAGGGTAGGGGAACTGGTCTCCAAACCTGAAAGAAATGAAGATGACATTCTGGGAAAGTGGGAGGTTCACAAAGCAACAATTTCAGAACCACGACTGTCTTCACAGCTGGAATCAAAATCATAAATTCAAAGATTTATATTTTATAATGCAGTTAATATACAGTTCCAACAGATGACTCCACTTATAGGCAGCTATGGAATACTCAGTTCGAACGAATAAATCATCGTTCCTTAAATGGGTAGGTGGGAGGGTCACAAAGCTACAATCTCAGAACCACGACTGTCTTCACAGCTGGAATCAAAATCATAAATTCAAAGATTTATATTTTATAATGCAGTTAAAATACAGTTCCAACAGATGGCCCCACTTATAGGCAGCTATGGAATACTCAGTTCGAACGAATAAATCAACGTTCCTTAAATGGGAAGGTGG